CTTCCCCTATCTCTTGCACCCTTTCCCTCCTATCTGCTTGCTATTCTGAGCTGTAGCCTAGAGGGGGCATCTCAGCCTACTCAGTCACTGCCCTGAGATCAGATAAAGAGCAGCGAGAAGAATTAAGCACCTTGACAGTACCTTCCAAGAGGGGAAGGGCTGTGATCCTGTGCAAAGGACAGTGTTCCTTCTTGGCAAGGGCGTTTAGTGATCTAGTAAACCTCGGCCCTCTAGCCTGTCCCAGCAAGGAGCTCAGGACTCGACCTTCACTTTGCCGCCATCAGAGGTTTGCAGGAAGGACACGGATGAATTGTCTGTGCTCCATGGTGAACACAGAGGATAGATCCCCACAGCACAGACTGGCAGGGGCACACCAGCCACTGTCAGGGTCCTGAATACCTGAGGACAAGTGCACGGGCCCAGGGCATAGCTCCTTCGTACCCAGAATTGCATCAGCTATAGATGGAACTCTCCCACCCATGGGAGAGCTGCTGTTTTTCTGTCGGCTCAGCTTGAGTCTTGATGCCTCATTGATTCCTTACATATCATGTCCTTCCTACCTTATGTTTCCTCAGGCTTGACTGGGCCAGCTTTCTAGTTCCTTGCCTGTCTACGCCTTATTTGAAAAGGAAACATTTGTGCTTTTTTTTTTTTTTTTTTTTTTTTTTTTTTTTTTTTTCCTCTCGGGGGGGGAGAAAGAGAATACTCGCCATATACCACCTAAAGAGATTATGTATTATGTTTAGTGGGAAAAGGGCAGGCAGGCTGAGGGGGACAACGGTCCAGCAGGTTAGAGGGAGAACTGTTTAAATTGTTTGCTTTGACTTTGATCATGTGAAAATAAAATGGGCACTGAAGAGATACAAATGGATATTAAGACACTGTGCAAAGAATTGTCAATTTAAATAATAAGTACTATAGATAATGCATGTTGTATACTGGTTCGAATCCAGGAATTAGAGAAATGGAAATACAAAGACTAAGAAATATAATTTATAAGGATCCAAGATATCTCCTACTGCAATCAGCATCCATCCATTCTGGAGGTTCAGAATGATTTTTAGGTCAATCACTTAACTTTAATCAAAATAAGGAAAAGTAATGATACATGAGTTTTCATCATGTGAATGACACTCAGAAGTTTTGGTTTAGGATTATAGTTGAGGTACTTAAGACATGTCCTAAATTGTGCTCAATTCTTAAAAAACAGTTGATTAAATCAATCAGAATTTTTTTTCCCATTTAGTTAAATAATAAATTCAAAATGAACTTGGTATTTATAGTATGACTGCATTGCTCCAGGATTGAGCCATAACAGTGACCGAAATATACCAATGGAGTATATTCTAGTGAGGGCACATGAGTAGAATGTATACTAGAAAAGATGGTGATTTTCTATAGAGAAAAATAAAGAGGGAAAGGGGTTCAGAAGTGCTGGGGTAGGTCTTATAATTTTAAATATAGTGGTCAGGGAACCAGCATGTGCTGTGGTACTTAAGGTGCTGGATTGCCACCTGGCCAACTATGAGGTCAACTATGGACCCAGTGACTTGAAAATCATGCCAGACACAAAATTAGGTACATAAACCAATAAAAAGAATAGAAAACCCAGAAATAAACCCCAAATGAACAGCCAACTTATTTTCGACAAATGGCACAAACTAATTCAGTGGGAAAAAGAAAATCTCTTTAGCTAATGGTGCTGGAAAAACTGGATATCCCCCTGCAGAAAAATGAAACTGGATCCCCATTTCTCACTATTAACAAAAATCAACTTAAAAGATCTAAACATAAAACCTCAAACTATAAAACTATGGGTGGAAAACAGAGGAAACTCTTGGGGCCAGGGGGTTGCAAAAAAAATTTTGTTTTTTTTTTTTTTTTTTTTTTTTTTTTTTTTTTAGCTCTCCTTGGGAGGGAGAAAGAGGATAAGCCCAGGGCCTCCACGATATGACGGGGTGGATGTGACAGTATATTGGGGGGAAGCGCGATGAGTAGACCCACCACCTCCCTCCCAGGGAGTGTGTAAGACACGGTCTACATTAAAAAATCAGTCCTGGATAATTATTCCAGAGGCCTGCAAGTCCCTTAGAAAGGCACACGTTTCTTCATCCAAAATGATCTCTAGGGGCATTAATGACAGGCCTCTGTCTCTAGATAAACTACATTGAATTGTATTCTTAGGCTATCCCAGGAAAAAGGTGCAGTACCCCCTTCCACCACCAGGCGTCGGTACTGAAAGCAGGCACCCATCGAAAGGACTCTGCCTGGCGTTTTAACACAGGGCAAGGGGCAGATCAGCAAGATACCAGCCACAGAGTACAAGAACTTTCTCTCCCTGCCAGTCACCGTCAGAGTTGGTCTGAAAAGATCTGGGGGCAGAGGCCAGACCTCAGTGCATTGTCCTTGCTCCTGGCATCCTACAAAAGATTTGTTTGTTAACGCTGAGGCAGCTCCCACATGCTGAGGGCTGCCCTGGAGTCAGAATCACCCATCCAGACATTCTGGTCCCAAGACCTCAGGTCTCTTATCTCTGGGAGGCAGAGCTGTTTCTCTGCCCCCACTTGTTTTAATGAGCTCTTCAAGGAGGGAGACTCTCATGGCTTCAGACAAAGCACTTCTCCTATGGGGGAAGGTTTCTAAGACTTTCTGGCGGGATCTCCCTACTATTGGGTTCTTCAAAAACTCCCCTGCCAACTCCCCACAAAGGGGCTTCTGTACTAGCCTGTCACATCTCCTGACGCTGGTGTTGTGGTTACAGCTTTGAGGAGAACTTTAGAGATGGAGTACTACCTAGTGCCCCTCGGAGACAGGGTGTCTGACTGTCTCTCAGCAAAGAACAAGTTTCTCTCTCTTCTGCCTGGACCCAGGTCCAAGGTGTACCCAAAAGGGAAGGACAGGAGAGACATGCATCCCACACCTCAGCACAGGGAGAGCGACTGGAGGAATAGCCAGGTGGGAAGGGACACGGGACACCTGCATCTGAGAGGCACGGGTGGGGGACCTTTGCATGCACAGTGATTATTCTCCTTGTCAGGTGAGTGCAGAGGGCGAAGGATGGCATCAGTCGGCCAACATTGCTAAACAGATGTGGATGACAGCCCACCCTTCTCTTGGCTTTTCCTGTTATACATTCCAGAGCGAACCCACGGCCCAAGTCCTTGGGCCCCCCAGTGGCGAGCTATTATCCTTTTACTCCACTCCAAATATGGTGCTAGAAACAGGAGCGTAAGATGCACAGAGGAGGGAGGTGCCGCAGACTCGAGGGGCTCACCATTGACATTGAGAGTGTAGTAGGCCTTTTGGCTGCCCATGTTGCTGGTGGCTGTGCAGCCGTAAATGCCGCTGTCACTCTTGTTGAGGAAGGGGAAGATCAGGGCACTCTCCTGGGTCATCTTCAGGGGTGGCACGCTGCCCTCCTTCTCCCACAGGTACTGCTGGGGTCTGTGGAAGCAGGCAAATCACAGGCGTTCAGAAGAGCAAGTGTCAGGGAGCTGAGGGAAGAGGAAAATAACTAGCGGAGGAAGGCAAGGGCTGTCCGATGAGGCTTAAGAAGATACAGTGGCCAGAGAAGCTGAGCTGCTTGGAAGCAGGGAAGGGGACTCCTTGGGGCTCATTCTTCAGAAGGCGGGGATTTCCTAACTTGTATTTTATTGTGACTTGGCTCCTTATGGGAACGTAGGGGGCCAAGCTAGTGAATAGGCACTGCCCACCTCTGCTGCTCTGCAGGAGACAATCAGAGGACGGACATTGTTGGACAGAGTCAGGGAAATGGAAGGCTCAGCTTAGACAGTGCAAAAGAGATGGGAAGGAGACAGTAAGTAAGATAACAATCTGAGAGTATGGAGGTGTATAGAGCCCAGAGGACAATGTTCTTACGCTGGATTGCCATGACCCTCACAGTGTAGCAATAGCTTCTGGCCCTCCCGGGGGTGAGGAGGGTCTGGCCTGATCTTCACAGTTGGTGTGTCTGTGGAGAAGAAAATGGTGTCAATGCAAATCTCTCCACTCCATTTCAAAAATCACCTGAAATGTGAAGTCCCCCAGCTACACACAACAACTTCTACTCCTAGATGTCTTCCTGAAAGGCTGTGAACAAAGACCTCCCTTCCACTACCTGTGCGAGCAAAGATTGTTATTGCTATTGAATGTGTGAGTGACTTGAGTTGCTACCTCATATTAGGACTCTGGAAGGTCTGTCCTTGGTGGGACCCTCAGGGACATCTTAACAGAGAGCCGAGAAAGGGAATAAGCAGTTGCTCTGTGCCTAGCCAACTGCCCGGCACAGAGATAGGATCTGACACACATTTGTGAAGAACAGACAAACCTGAACTTGCCACTTACTGAGCGGGCAACCTCTTCATTCTCTCTGCTCTGCAAGGGAGCTTATAACTGGAAGGAACACTTGGACACAAAACATCATTTTGAATGGTCAGTCCAAACGAAAAGTGAGAGCTTTGAAACAGCAAAAGATGGGGGTCATATTTTGGCTGCACAAAGGCACTGACACACTAGAGATGCACTCTGCAAAGGGATAATGGCATCTGCCATGGACGCCGAAGGGCTGCTTAGGAGGCAGGTCCAGATGGCCGCTTAGAACAATACAACCAGATGCTGGTTTAGAACAACAGATAAAGAGGCTGAGCTTCCCCTAAGGACAGAGCCAGCCTTAACAACCAGTTAACCAACGTGTTTCAGTCAAATTACACAGGACAAAGAGAATCAGGCCAGGTGAGAGAATGGGGCTCCATGGCCATAGAAACTTCTAGCACAGTGCCTGGAGGAGAGCATTTGTTGACTGTCTGCTGATCACAGTTGAGCCAAAAGGCTCCCTGGAGAGTAATTGCCAGATGGCCTGGTATCTGACACAGGAGTCTTTGGGGCTCAGAGATGAAATGACCTTCTTTAGCCAGGTCAGGGACCAGGACACTAGGGCAAGAGCCCAAGGCCAGGAGCCTCCTGTTCAGAATTAATTAGAGAAATACCTCATAGCAATACAAAACTCTGAAGTTTATCAAGTTCTTTCAATACGTTGTTTCATTTATCTCAACAATAACTCAGTGGAGTAAGCAGGAGCCGTGGGGAGAAAAGACATTCGGATGAAAGCAACACAACTAGGAAGTGGCAGCATGGTAGAATCCAGGTCGTCTCTCCGAAGATCCAGAGGTTGACAGACAGATGCCACACCAAACCTACCTCATGTGGAAGTCCGAGTAATGGGTCTAGCACTGAAGTTCTGAAATGTCCTCAGACCTGGGTCTCCCGTAAGATCAGGGCATTAGCTGTTTTTGAATACTGTCCAACTTGTAGGTAAGTTAGGGGAAGGAATACATTTGTTTATAACTTTTGATCTTCTGCCTTTGTACTTTAGTTATTCTTTTCCTTTCGGTTTCTCCACCCAAAAACATTACTTTTGAAAATTTCCAGATTTCCTCAGCTACGAAATTTCCAAGTTTCCAAACTTCCTCAGACGTTTCCTGTCCACATTGAAGGTAAATTCCAGAGAGGATGAAGGTCCTTGGAAAGGTGAGGCGTTGTGATTGCACCGGTGGCTATTTCAAGTTAGAATCCCAAGAAAAATCATGGTGCTGGAGAAAATGGAGGAGGCCTCAGCGGTGAGAGGATCTGGGGATAATGACGCCAGAGAGACTGTGTCTCCCTGCCACCCGTATTTTCTTGAAGTTGTAGAGCGTTAGAACGAGAAGAAGCCTTAGTGATCTCCATGTTCTGCCTCTCTTCCTTTAGCAAATTAAGGATGGAACTCAGTGGGGTAAAGTCATTCTCTTAACATCCCACAGCTTCAAGTGGCGGGGTGCAGACTAGGAAGTATGTCCTGGGACTCCGGATTGGCTCGTTACCACTGCAATTCACAGTCTGCAGTTTACACCCTAGCTGCATCATGCCGGCCTAGCATAATGTACCTAGTGGCTGGTTCACTTACATTTGGGTTTCATCCTGCCAGCGGCACGCTTTTGTAAATAAAGTTTTATTGGAACACAGCCCCGCTCATTTGTGTACATACTGTGTGTGACTGCTTTGCTGCTGCAGCAGCAGGGTGGGAGAGTTGAGACAGAGACCATGTGGCTCTCAAGACCTGCACCGTATGCCATTAGGCCCTTTATAGAGTTGGCAAACCCTTGGCTGAGTCCTGCCACCACTCGTCTCATTTTTCAACTGTCCACTGGTCGGTCATGTGGCTTTACATAGTCACCTGCACTTTCTTTCTCCCACTTCCCACCTCATACCTGCTCCTTCCTCACCCCCCAAGCCCACGACTTACATAAAACTTCAATGCGTTGAGAAGTGGATCTGTCAGCGCCCTTTAGGGACTCATGGTTCACAGAACACACGATGTTCGCCCCGTCATCCTCCCGGGTAACCTGGAATGTCACCGAGCTGCTCACAGTGAAGGTTTTACCATTGGGATCTTCCCGTGCTCGGGTCGGTTCTCCTGGAATGGTGAAATGCACACGCATGCACAGATGCAGAGTGAGTCCTGACAGGTATAGGGCGGGCCCCACTGTAGACATGCAGATGGTAAGCCTCAGCCTAGACAACTTAGGAAGTCGTGAAATGGATATGCACGCCAAGGGGAAGGTAGGCCCCAATGCCACACGCACACAGGGCACAGAAAATAGCTGTGAGTTCCCTTTCCCTTCTACACCATGCCTTCTGTACACACACACATACACATGGATGTCTCTCTGTCTCTTCATCTGTTTCTCCCTCTCCCCCCCAGCACCAACTCCTCCCGTAATCCTGCAGCAGAAGGCACTCACCACGGAGTTCTTGGTCACCCTTCCTCCAGGCGAGCTCGGCTGGAGGTTTGCTCCCAGAAGACTGACAGTTGAGGGTGGTTGTCTCCTTTTCCCGTAATGATGATTTGTAACCACTGATTACGGGCTTCTGTGGGATTCCTGCCATGGATAGGGGATGGCCAGGGTAGGAAGGAGAGGCACCGTGAGCTCACACTTCAGCTCTCTTTGTGGAGATGGCCTCTCTGGAGGTCAGGATACCTGCGTTCTACTTTGGCTTATGATGGATAGAAGACTAGAGAAAGCATCTTTCTCTTTTACCTCCTCCCTGAGGACCAGAAGAAAAGACCAGGGGGAGGAGATATGGTAGTGGGGAGATAAACCATACCTGAGATAGTCGATGTGACCCGACACTCCATAGCACAAAGGGTTGGCTATGGACACAGTGTGAGGCTCAGGGAAGTAAAGAAGGAACATGAAATACGGGATGACGATGAGAGCGTGTAAGCCACGGGGACACTTGTACGATTACACATTGCATGCACTTCTCAGGTTTCCTTCACATGGTCTTGGGAGGTAGATGGAATGGCCATGATCATCCCTCCATTAGGAATTTCAGCTCAAAGAGTAAGAGGGTTGTCCCAGGTCAAACGGTAAGTACAACAGAAAGGATTAGAACCAGTTCCTCTTTGCATTTTAGCCCACTGCAAGGGAACACAGGCTGAACTTTCCCCAAAATATTTGGAGCATTGCCCAACTCCAGGCTGCTTCGGGGGCCCACCTGGGGAGCTTTGTTTGCAAGGAGCATGCTATGGGGCCTCACCAAGCACAGTGACGAGGGACTTGGCGGTCCGCACAGGCATGGTGAAGATGGAGCAGGTGTACTCGCCCTCATCTGCCAGGGCCACGTTGCTGATGCTGATGCTGAGCTCGTGGGGAGTGGAGCTAACCAGCTGAATCCGATTATCTCGAAGGGCTGGGGAAATTGGGAGAATTGGAAGCCAGGTTTTTACTGGCACCCTTCGTGTTTATTTTCCAAACCCGGGCCAGCTTCTTTGGGGGAAGGAAGCAGTCTAGCATGTTGGAGTGGTAAGGCGAGTGGGAAAACTGCTCCTGGGTTTGAGCTGTCTTTAGGTCCTCAGTCACTTTTCTCGGCCATTGGACATAGCAACCAACAGATACTCAGAAAAGTGGGCAGGATCTTGTGCATTTCCTTGTGAGATATCTGGGCAATACTGACACCAGCTGCCTGCTAGGGTGCCTATGGGGTGAGGTCACTCGAGGACCCTCCATGGGTATGTATGCCCTAACTCAGAGCTATACCAGTGAAGTTTTTCTGGAAACAGATGAGGAGGCTATGGCTTGTTGCTTCTGCAATTGGCATAACTGTGTTTCTCAGTCTCCAGACTAAGGGACAGCTCCCCTCGGGCTCTGCAGTCCTTTTTCCCAGCCTAGGGTTCCCAAGAAGAGCAATAACTCATGGGATACTACCTCTCTTCTCCCCAAAATAGAGAGTCTGCTGGGCAGGGTTAGACCACTGCAAGGAAGAGTCCTCATGGTCTTTCACTTGGCACTTGAGTACAACGGTGCCGCCAGCCACCACGGTTTCATCAGACGTCCAGGGCTGACTGTCTGTAGGAGCAGAGTAGGGTTAGTTTCCTGAGGATCCCTGAGCCCTCCACCCATCCATGTCAGCCCAATCCACTTCATTTAATTCAGGCCATCCAAGGCCCTGGTATACACAGAGTCTCTGTGTACTCTTAAGGCTTCATGGGGAAAGGGATAAGGGTGGTGGTGGTGTAGGGGAAGACAGACCTTATTTTTTTCTTGCTTTCAATATACAATAAAGCAGACAGTCACGTGTTGGAAGCTTGCTGAAAGAACTGACAGGGCCTTGAACAGATAGAGGAATAAAAGCACCCCAGATCAGCACATACGACTCCATGGGTATCTTTCTGATATGGCTCTATCACTCATCTTAGGAAACACACGTACACAGCTGTCACTCTGGGTTTTGCCTTCCTGCCACCACCTACACATAAGAG